TATATATATATATATCAGCAAAGACCAAAGACTAGGGGAACTTAACACGTTATGTTTATTAACTAAAATAATCATTTCCTTTAAGTATATTTTCATAAGTTATAGGATTAACAGTATTTCACTTGTTAAGAATATCTAAAATATTAAAAAGCTGCAGTAGCAGGATATTTCATCTTTGAAAACCTGACTAAATCAAAGAGAAATCACTTTTAAAAATTGATTAAGTTTTCTAAAGTCGGGCGCAGCTTTCTCAAGTTACTCTTCTTTCTAAAGGGATATTTTGTTTCCTTCTAGACGTTAAAGATGATCTAGATGTTTGATTACTTTTTAGAAATCACCTGATTAATATTTTTCTTCACAATTTGTAAGTTAATAAGAAAAAATAATACATATTCAGTTTCCAATACGTTCTGAAAGTGAATTAAGAAAGCATAAAATATTATTTGCTGGAAAACTACTTTATAATTTATAAGCGAATGTAAGCCTATGAATTAATAATAATAGGACAGAATAAGCAAGACTATGAATTAAACCATAAATAAGTATTGAACATAATAGTATAAATGTAATTTCATGATAATTTATTTAAAAGTTGCAAACTTAGTAAAATTTTTCGTATTTTTATAATATATAATTCTTAAATAATTCTTAAATATTAATAAAGAAATAAAAGACTAATATTCTATAACTATAAAAAGAACTTAAGTTTCATAATAGTGACTCCTTTAGTCAAGAAAATATATCAGCATCAAGCATAATTTAATAAAATAGTTTTCTTACACTAATTAATAACTAGTATTTTTTCCTTTTTGCAAAGCTTATAATATTCAAGATCTCTTTCAGATTCTATTTTTTCTTTATCTCTAGAACGTAAAACTAACCACTTCTCGAAAACCTGCAATAAATCATTTTAGATACGTATCTAAAAGGAGTCATAAACATAGAAGATACGTTTCAGTATTTTTTAAGTGTTATAACTTTAAAAAGCTATCTTGCTGCCACCTGCACAAAATTCAGAAAATTAATCAAAAAGGGAAAGATAAGACCTTAAAGAATGCATGAAATATCCAAATGAAAGCTGTTGGTTTCGTCTAAAAGATTGCAGCTGATAATTTTTTAATGAAAGAATAAATTTACATTACATTCGACCATTCCTACATTCTTCTGAGTTATTTCTTTAGGTATTCAGAATACTGCAGTATACTTCGTTTTGCTTTAGCTAACAGCAATTTACGTGAAGATTACGTTTATATCTAAGTAAGAACAAATCCAAAAAACGTATTAATGTACTGTAAAACATCATAAAAATATTTTTCAAGTTATATGGAACTGTAGGTGATAAATAAAAGGGATGAATTTTAGCAAGATTAAAAAAAAATATTTTATATAGGATAAATGTTGTGCTGTTAAAAAAAACTAATATAATTTTATGCTCATCCTGAATGTTATAACTTTAAAAACTATCTTGCAGCCTCCTGTAACGGATTTCTAATTCTTTAACGGATTAAATTTTTCTCATCTTTCCCTCCCAAAAGAAGGAATTCATATCTTATTTCCTAACTCTAAAAAGAGATTTGCCCCAAAACCCCAAAATTATGCATATTATGGTAACGAAAGAAAATGATAGCAATATCAGTTACCTCTTTTACAATTTGATTTAAATTTTGCTTTCTTACCCAGGCTTGAAATCAAATTAAATGTATAGAACGAATAATCCAAATATTTACTGGAATACCCGTATTTAAAGACGAGGTGAAAAATGCTTTTCTTTACTGTATAGAACTACGTTTTACCTTTAGTTTTTAATCAGACAAGAAACGCGACACTACTCCAAAATTGAGCGTTGAAATGAAAAACATCGTATATTTTTTAAATATTTTAGTATTGCCTATATTTTTGAACATAGCACTTTCAGATGCGTACACTTTTAATTATACAAAAAAAAAATCACCTTTAAGAGTTCGCTCATGGGCTGCAATAGCGGCACAATTAATAAAAAATCATGTTTCGAGATAAGGATAAGTGGGTTTAAAGTTTTCATTGCTAAGGAGAATGCATAAGAAATGCTTTCGTTGAGTTGTGCTAGTATTTCCGCTGAAGGAATGTGCATTTTCATATTTACACCCGTTCTTAGTCCAAAACGCGTGTTGTTTTAGTTGTGCCACTATTGCAACCCATGAGCGAGTTGTTTACTGGCTTTAAAACGAAATATTTTGTTTTGATTGCTAATATCATAGTCATGCTGAAATATTCATAACATATATCGCAACATTTTAAAAACCGCATTATTATCGTGTTTGACACGTTTTCAATAAATTCAAATCATTAATATAATCGATAATCTTTCAAACCTTGAATGTGAGAGCAGAGTAAAATATATTTTTAGAGATTCCTTCTACTTCTACCTAACCCATTAGCATACAATTCGAAAATTGTTATATAGCTGCTAACGTTTTGGATGTTTTGCGTTATATGCTAATGTTTTGTTTAATAATTTGCTGTTATTTCTCGCCAAACACTTTTGAATGCGCAAGGCCAAGAAAAGAGCCTTGGCATTCAATTTAATCGATTAATTGCCAATACATGGATTTCTTAGCTTTCCTTGGCAAAAACCATGCTAACGTACACGTGGGACTTTTGATATTTTGGTGGACGGAGCTGTCCTGTAGGCTGCAGCTACACACCCGGGCCATTTTTCCAAATTTGTTAATTTATCTGTACTCAAATATGAATCATTTCATTACATTTGAGCTCTAAATGATTCCAGAAAAAATAAAGTATTTTTATTTATTTTAATTTGATTCTTCATTAAGCAATTTATGTTTTTAGATAAATAATTTCTTGCCCACATCACTCCGGAATAAAATATGGTCAATTGGAAATGCATCAATCAACACCTTCATTAACTTATAGCTATTACATCCAACAACATTCAACATTCTTAAAACAAAAATGTTCATGGATAATCATGCAATTTTTATTCACATTTAAAAAATATATATAAAACATTATTAATTACTGTATAAAATATTTCAGTTGAAGCTGTCATCATTCTTAATCATAAATTTATTATTTTTGAAGAATAACTCAACAAATTTAATTATAGCTGATGAATAAAACAAGTATATTATTACTCTAAATAGTAATAAAGAAATATAGTAAAGATGTTGTGTTTAGAAATAAAGTTTACATATAAATCTCTAATCTAAGTATCCGTATTTTTAATAAAGTTCAAAATAACGAATGATACGACAGGTTAAAAAATGAAAAGAAAATTCTAAAAATAACAAAAATAATTTTGCAGTGGAAAATAATATTTTTCCAAGCACATGTCAAACTAAGATAAAATATTTTATTTAGCAGATACGAAAGTTTGAAAAAAAATTTATTTTCTTCCATATAACTGTAACACCAAACTTGTCACATACAAAATGTCATACTAACTTACACTTTACAAAATAATGTTTTTTACAATATTTCGAAGTTATTTCATCTGTCTATATTTTTCTATTTTCAGATATATATTTATAATTTATCAAATACATAAAACAATCATTCTTATATCTATATTTTTTTCAAAAAATATTTTAAGTCATAAATATGGAAATAGCATCATATTAAATGATAAAATAACGAAAAAATAGTTTTAAACAGACATGGTAAAGCCATTTGAAAAAATTCTCGCAGAAAGTTCAATGTTTATTTTGAAACAATGTTCATTTTCTTATTTTTTAACTATCGTCAAGTACGTTGTTTCTATACTCATGGTCAGTAGTTATTACTCTTTTTTTTCACAAAGCTTGCACTCGTGTAGCTTAAGAATCTTATTTTATATTCCTAGCTCCATTTACCATCATGTGTTGTAATAAATTTTGATTTGAGAATTTCAAATATAGAACATATCAAAAATAATTTTATTAATGTTAATACTGATAGAGATTATTAGAATTATAATTTTTTTTAAAAAAAAAGGCTTAGTATTCACTGACCGACAGATCCAATACTCTCGCGCTTAAGAAATTTTAATTCCCGATTATCTTTTCACTGGTCGAGGCATAGAATTAGATACTTGTTTCTGCATACCTATTCATCTGCATACTTGTTTCTTGAGGCGGGTACTAAGATGATTTCTAAGACGTTAGCGATTAACTTGAGCTACAAATTCTTTGCAACACTTTGAGATGTGGAGGGAAATTATGTTAAGTAATTGTCTACTCTAAATAAATATTTTTAAATTCTAATCTGTTAATCTGTTACTTGGCAACCGATAAAAGTTAAATAAAAATATTTGACTATTTCCTTCTATTCCAGTTGTTGGCCAATGGTTGTTAAGCGATAAACTTGTATGAGAAAAAAAATCCTTAACCAACATAGACTGTTCTCTTGAAGTTAGCGTATGGATACCACTTTTGTTAAAATATGCAGTTCCTCTGCAATCACCGATTATTTCGAACTTTATTACGATAACTGCAACGAAACTGATGTTCTGTTCAACTTCCGCGCACAAGTTTCATTATAGTTATCGGATATTGAAAAAAAGTTGTTCAGAATTTATTAAAAATATTTTTTTTTCATAACTATTCTTTGTTATCCATACAACAATGATGCATCAAGATACAGCAAAATACGCAAAAGGGATATTAACGATTAAGGGGTCAAAAATCTCAACTTCTCTCCTGTCTAAACTATTAGAACCGTATTTCTTAAATAGCGGCTACCCACCGTATTTTGAGAGTCACGAATCTAAATTCGTCGTAAAAAATTGCTTCAATTCAGAGAAAGTACGTTTATTTCAAAGTGATTTTTTCAAAGTTGAAATGTAGTCAGCACTTATTAAATAATATATTTAAGGTTAAAAACTTTGAATCATTAAAATTGTGTATTCGAGCTTGCAAATCCAATCATTGGATAAAAAATTTTTAGGGTGTTTATTTTTTTCTGCACGCTTTACACCAATAATATACTATTTTAATGATTTTGTCGTAGGCATTTTATTTACTATCACATTTTGCTATGCCATTGGTATAGTTTAATCGGCTTGTTATAAATAGTGTAATATTCATATTCCTTGTCAAAATTGAAGTCGAGGATGTACGTACTTTAAGCATCGCAAATTCTTATTTAAGCAATTAAAATACAGAACTACAAACTGAAATGAGAACTGAAAACAGAAAAATCATTTTTATGAAGGAGACAAAAAAAAACTTGAAAGGCTACTACTAGAAACACTTCTTTACGAATGTGACGGGTATTGTTTTCAATTAATAAATCCAAATTAAAAGTTATAATTATATTTTATTTATTACTTAATCATTATACTATTATATAAGGAGGAGGAGGACCACACTTACCCATAGCTGCTCGTTTTGAGAGTCTCGCTTGCAGTCGGACTGAATTCCCTGTATTCTCCGTATTTTCCCTTTTTATGGAGTTTATTTATACATTTTATTTCAAGGGGTCAAACGTGATCTCGTGGTCTTATCATGCATCCGAAGGTCGACAAATCAAGCATAATCTTGTGACAAATTTCTAGAAAGTTAAAAGTTGTAATTCGATTGCGAGATGAGACCACGGGATCTTAATCAACTGTTTAATTAACAAAAGATTAACAAGTTTGACCACGAGAATTGCCACGAGGCTACGTCGCGACACGACTCTAAATGGTTTTGATTTTTCAAACCAATGTGATTTTTTCAAACCAAACACGCGAGCAATTTGATTAGTTTTGACAGTATTTTGGCTTTTACGTCACTTAAATATTAATTTAAAACCCTTAATGCATACACTCTCTATTTACTGCATTTCTAAAAAGGGATATAATAGATAGATAGATAGATACATATAGGTTGATATATATATATATATACTCTTTT